AACACTGTTGCGGTCCTGCTCGCTCCAGCTCTGAAGGCTGAAAGCAGGTTTCTGGGGATTGTTTAGGCTCTATAATTGCAACATTGTTTCTTAGACTGCAGCTCAGAGGCCGGCAGCGGCAGGTGGGGAACCTTGGCTTCCTCCATCATTGGAGCAAGCAAGCCTCCTGTTCGCTTCAGCTGCCTGGCTGCCGCCGCCATCTTGGTTGACAGTTAATTTGCATATCGCCCTGATTAGCCAATGGGAAGGGTAGCGAAGTCACGGTTAATTACCATGTTTCTCTATTATTAGATAGGATAGCATCTACCATGGTTCAATATGAGTAATAGAAGACTGACTCAATTAAATCAAGATATTTTTCATACTAATATTTTTTAAGTAAATTCTAAATAATATATAAAATTAGGAATAAAAATATCAAAAATATCAACAGAACATATCGATATTAGAGATAAAAGAATTTCAGAGGGCACTGATATTATGGGGTTAGGCGGAAGCTAGTTTACAAGCAAAAGGAAACCCACTTTCTTCCAAGAAATTTTAAAAAGCAAGTATTAAATGTCTTTTTTCTGAAATAAAAAAGAAATACTAAAAAAACCCCAAATGTGCATTTAAAAATAGAGAACTTGTCTACAGTTATGTGAGCAATTAAGATACGAAATAAAACAAATAAAGCTGCAGCACTAAACATGCTGCAAAATGTGAACATTTAATCCAACCAAGATGGTTACACCCACTCCCATTAGTAAAACAAAATGTAGGACAAAATGGGAAATGAATGAGCTTAGCTGTAGGGGCTTGTTTGTTTGTTTTTTAATTTCATCCTTTTGCTCAAAATGTAATTTCTATTTTACCCTAAAGTCTTTTGTTGGCTATAAGGGGAATCAAATGTTCCTAAAAAAGAATCAGAACAAGCTCTGAAAATGCATAATACAAGCTTCATTTGTTCTAATGCACATCTGGTGTATTTTGTTTTAACATTTTTGACAGGTTAATCATTTGTCTTCATGTTTAAAGAACACGAATGTTTTGCTAGTGCTGTTACACAGATCATGTGGGGGTGAATAAAAAAAGCTAGAGAAGGAGAAAGGTCTCTTTGTTTTTTCAAGATGCTTTGTTAAATAAAGGTGAGAGGGGGAGGGGAAGGGGGGGGGAGGGGGGAGTGTACCTAGGTAACTTGACCTTGGTGTACAGAAACTGACTCATTATGAAAGTAAAAATAAAGCCCATTAATAAAAACTAGTAATATGAGGGGGAACTTTTCTTATTTGAAATGAAGTTATTTGAAAACCTTTCAGAATAAAAACAAAACAGTGACTAATTTTGTGATGAAAATATAATTTTTTAAAAAAACCCTCAAGGCTAAAAAACATAAAGGCCTAAAGGGTTATTCAGAGAATAGATAAAGTAGCAAAGGTGACTAAATTAACTTCTGGGAAAAACCAGTTCACCATGCAAAGAAAGGAGATAGCTAAATACAGATATATTTAGCATTTAGCTTCAGTTTTAATTGACTATATTTAGTACTGTTTGGTTTTGTTGAGCTTGAATTTAATTAGAAAGAAGTATGAGAAATATTTTCATCAAATTGAACTGTAATTCACATTTAATTTTTAAAATAATGTCAATTTCAGGTCTTACTTAGGAAAAATTACATCTGATTCCATGACAACAAACACTATTGTAATGGAAAATCCTAATAAAAAGTGCCAATACTCAGTTCAATAGCTAATAAGGATGTGTTATTCAATGCAGACTATCAAAATAAATAAATAAAACTCTAGTACAACAAAAGAATTGGAGAGTAGATATGAAATTGTTTAAAGTACAAAACATAATCTATAATTCATGGTGTTAGTGGCTACCATGTCTGAAGAATTTTGGTAGGAATTTTCAGCTCAAGTAGAGTTAAACTGTGAAGCCCAATCTACTAAAACAATATTAAAATACTTGTTCTGTTTACACTATGAAATTTTATTTGAAATAATAACCTATCTATAGCAGATATACAGTAAAAAAAATATCAGCACCATTTGACTCTTCCGTTTGTCTTTCCTGTCCATTCTTAATTACTTGATGCAATCCTCATATATCTGACATTTGTCCTCTTCATTTCCGGTCTCATTATGAAGACATTAGTTTAAACATTAACTTTATTAGTCTCTGGTGATTGTGTCCAAGCTGGTCTCCCTGCTTCTAGTTTTGATTGATGCCAATACATCTTATGAACTCTTGCTAGATTAAACCTGTAAAGAATTCCCCACCTTAAAAACTTGTAAGGGAATCTACTGAATATAGAAAAAAATAAAAGTCCAAGCTTACTAGGACCTTATTCCAGATCCTTCTCAATATGACATCAATCTACCATTTCAACACAATTTCCCATTATTCTCTTTCATATCAATGTAGGGATACCTTTCAATACAGCTAAAGAGGACTGATATTTCTTGTACATGGACTGTAATTTCTGACTTACTTCAATCTCTATGATTAATAGATTCTTCCTTCTTATTATCTTGAAATTCTAGCAAAAGCTAACTAATAATAAAGCAGAAAATTAAGATTGCGAAATCACATATTTTTGCTTAAGTATCTTAGCAGAGCACACTGTTCCTGTTTCTAGTCAGCACCAGATATGCAGACTCACCGGCCAACCACAAGAGAGCAAAATTAGTATCAGGAACGGGATGACCAGCTGAGTCAAACTGCACATCCGGTCCACAGAAAATCCCTGCTACTCCCCTCAATTCAATTCCTACTTCCCTTTTACCTTATATAATTATCTGGTTTGACAAGAACTAATAAGATGGGTTTTGGGATAGGAGTCCCCACCTTCTCATGTTGCCGGCACTTGAATAAACCACTTTCCTTCTCATCAGCACCTGTCTCACAAGTTTGGCTTTCATTGCAGCATGCAGCACAACTACAGTTTGGCTTCATACTTAAAGTATTTCCCTTAATCTATGCATCCAATTATTCAAGATCAGTTTAAATGCTAACTTCCTCATCTATATATGTAAATTCTTCTTCTACTGAAAACCTACAGCACCTTGTGACTTTATCATTTATGTTATACTTTAAAACATAGCTACTTATGTAGCAACTAGAGGCCCGGTGCATGAAATTGGTGCACAGGTGCAGTCCCTAGGCCTGGCTGGCAATCAAAGCACGAGCGTCTGGCTTGGAAGGGCAGGTACCAGCTGACCTCTGGGCAGCACCTGGGCCCCCGGGCCCCCGCGTGCCACCCTCCCCTTGAGTCATCAGGCCCCCACCCAGCTCCCTCAGCACATGGAGCCAGGTGGTGGCCCCACCCCCTACTGCCGCCGCTGGTCTGTCTGCGGGCCAATAGCTGGGGTGATCGGACCCTGCTCGCACCTGCCTTGGCCTGGCACCACCTGCTCACCTGTTCCACAATCCCACCAAGGTCCCACTCTCGTCAGTGCCCATCAGGGCTGGCAGCACCTCAACTGCCGCCTGCTGCCAGCGCCACATCGCCGACACCCGCCATGTTCCACGCCACCCCCTGGTGGTCAGTGCACGTCATAGCGAGTGGTGGAACTCCCGGTTCAACGGAAAATTTGCATATTAGCCATTTATTATATAGCATGTTACTTTCCTTACTATCCTATATAATAAAGAGGTGATATGCAAATTGACCATCACTCCAACACACAAGATAGCCAACCCCATGTGGTCAAGATGGCCGCCATAAGATGGCCAGTAGAGGAGGGCAGTTAGGGGCGACCATGCCAGCAGGGGAGGGCAGTTGGGGACAACCAGGACTGCAGGGGAGGACAGTTAGGGGTGACCAGGCCATCAGGGGAGGGCAGTTGGAGGTGACCGGGCCTGCAGGGGAGGGTAGGTGGAAGTGACCAGGCCTGCAGGGAAGGGCCATTGGGGGGGACCATATCTGCAGGGGAGGGCAGTTGGGGGGGGACCAGGCCTGCAGGAGATGACAGTTGGGGGCAACCGGGCCGGCAGGGGAGGGCAGTTGGGGGCAAACGGGGCAACAGGGGAGGGCAGTTGGGGGCAACTGGGCCAGCAGGGGAGGGCAGTTGGGGGCAACCAGGCCTGCAGGGGAGGGAGGTTGGGGACGATTGGACCAGCAGGGGAGAAGATCGGTGTCGATCAGGCTGGCAAGGTAGTGGTTAGGGGGTGATCAGGCTGGCAGGCAGAAGCGGTTAGGGGCAATCAGGCAGGCAGGCAGGCGAATGGTTTGGAGCCAGCAGTCTTGAATTGTGAGAGGGATGTCTGAATGCCCATTTCCCTCGAGGGGTCTCAGATTGGAGAGGGTGCAGGCTGGGCTGAGGGACACCCCCACCCCCTCTAGTATTTCATAAGAGAGAAATATCCATAAGGGAAAAGTTCCTTAAGGAAAAAAATCTGCAGTGCCATGCACACTGTAAGCATTCATATATGAGTTGAATGCTGACATAAATTAGCATACCTATTGTATTGATAAAGAGGTTAAAAACAGTATGATTATAACATGTCTAATGGGTAATACTTCCACTTAATTTCAAGTTAAAATATGGCCTAAATAGCTCCCAGTTTGGCTCAGTGGATAGAGCGTCGGCCTGCGGACTCAAGGGTCCCAGGTTCGATTCCAGTCAACGGCATGTACCTTGGTTGTGGGCACATCCCCAGTAGAGGGTGTGCAGGAGGCAGCTGATCGATGTTTCTCTCTCATCGATGTTTCTAACTCTCTATGCCTCTCCCTTCCTCTCTGTAAAAAATCAATAAAATATATTTTTAAAAAATATGGCCTAAATTTAAAGTATTATATAGTAATTAGCTCTGCAAATTACAATAGATTACCAACATCAATGTCAAGAGGGAAAAAATCAAATCTGCATGTTCTCACATAACACAAAACTCAAATAGCAGGACATATTTATTCTACATATATATATTAGCAATTTTGTTTTCTAACAAAACATACATATTAGAAGAAAGTTGTTGATAGCATATTGAAATAATAAAAAAGAATTCTCCCTTACTTCGATTAAGCTTTGGAAATCTTTTTTTCAGTTTCTTCTTTAATGGATTAAGCTCGGGCATAATTTCTGGAACAGCTACATAAAAGTCTGGCTCAATTTCATCATCCAAAATCTAAAAAATCAAGATAAAAGATAACCTTCTGAAAAGAAAGTATAATGTAGTAATTCCCCTTATAATTTAGAAAACACACATTAAACAATGGTTTGTCTTTAAACGAGGATCATATGAACACATTTACCAATTATGAAAACCATTAGAAGCAAAACATTTTCTGATCTTTTCTCTTAAAAATAGTCACATCCATTTAAAATATATGTATTTAAAGGGTTTAATTCTTCCATTTAAAAATTTACTTGATTATAAAATGAAGCAACTTTTTAGAATAGTACTGCCTAGGCAACAAATATTTTACCAATGATTCCTTTTGCTTAAATCTTACCAATATATGTCATTCAAAGCTGTGGTTTGGGATTATAGTGAACCCTAAAGACTTGAACCCTGGCAAAATTAAGCTGTGACTCTGAAATTTTATCTCTCTGTTACTATTCTTTATTTTTATAAATTCTTTATCCCCTAAATAACATTCTGTATTCCTCTTAACAATAACTTACATTAAGCAAACACTTATCACATGCCAAGCATTCAGTTCAATATTTAACATGGTTTAATTAATCCAGTCTTCACAATAATCCTAAGAGGCAAGTACTAATATTGACTACACATTCCAGATTCAGAAACTGAAGACTTAGGGAGGATGAGTCTGTCCGTGTACTTATAAGGGACAGACCCAGAACTGAAACAAAGGTAGTGTGGATTCAGAACCAGGGCTCTCATCACTAGAAATATTAAGCAGAGGCAATTTGAAATGTCAAAGAACGGTATGTGAAATTTCTACTCCAAGACTTTTCAATACTAATTCTAAAACATGTAATAAATAAATGGATGGCAAAGATAACTAAACAATTCATATAACTAATGAATGTGAAAATAACACTGTACCTTCTGAATCAGATTAGTTCCTCCTGCAAATGCAGCTCCATGTTCTTCTGCTATTTTAATCTCTGATGCATTCTACCAAAATACAATAGTTTAAACATCAATTCAGTCTGCTTTCAAGTATTTTGTCAGAAATAATATTACAGCTCAAGATAGAAACTGTGGCTTTTACTTTTAATTGGAAATGCATCAATTTTCAATGAGATGCATCAGAAATATTACAACCAGAACAAGTTTAGTTTTTAGGTAATTGAGGTATTTCTTGTAACATGAGCAAATAACTAAAAAATGCATGAGGACCTAGCCCAGCCGTGGGCAAACTACGGTCCGCGGGCCGGATCCGGCCCATTTGAAATGAATAAAACTAAAAAAAAAAAAGACCGTACCCTTTTATGTAATGATGTTTACTTTGAATTTATATTAGTTCACACAAACACTCCATCCATGCTTTTGTCCCGGCCCTCCAGTCCAGTTTAAGAACCCATTGTGGCCCTCGAGTCAAAAAGTTTCCCCACCCCTGCCCTAGCCGGTTTGGCTCAGTGGATAGAGCGTTGGCCTGTGGACTGAAGGGTCCCAGGTTCAATTCCAGTCAAGGGCACATGCCCGGATTGCGGGCTCAATCCTTAGTAGGGAGCATGCAGGAGGCAGCTAATCAATGATTCTCTCTCATCATTAATGTATCTCTCTCTCTCTCTCCCTCTGCCTTTCTCTCTGAAATCAATAAAAATATTTTTTTTAAAATGCATGAGGAACCTACCAAGTAATTCAGCCTAAGTCTCTAATACCATAAACATATCATCTTCCAAAAGTAAAAAATTAAAATATATTTAGTTTTGCTCCTTAAATGGAGATATTTTATCAAACCAATATAGAGAGAGAAAAATTTTTTTAAGATTTTTTAAACTGATTGTTAGAGAGAGGAAGAGAGAGGGAGAGAAAAACATGCATGTGAGAGCAAAACATCGATCAACTGCCTCCTGCACGCCCCCTACCAGGGATTAAGCCCACAACCTGGGCTTGTGCCCTGACCAGGAATCTAAGCAGCAACACTTCAGTGCATGAGATGATGCCCAACCAAGCCACACTGATCAGGAAGAGAAAAATATTTTTAATAAATGATAGAGCCAAAATTTAGCCTGTTGGCTGAAAATTCAAAGAAAAAATACACAGCATTAGTTATTTTCTTTCTCTATGTTCCATTTATACCATTTGGTTTTACTGTGAAATATATCACACTCCCTTAGTCAGTCAAGTTTTGGGCATTCCAACAGCTATATGCTCTACTTTTCTGGAAAAAAAAAGTAAAGAATTTCTTCCTTGAAAGTGAGACAGATGGAGAAGAATCAAAACACCTTACAAAATAAAATCATAAACACATTATAAACAAATGTTTATAAATACAAAAAGTTTGACCAAAAACTTATTACTGTACTTGTTATAGCCTTGACTTTCTTCACTTTCTATACTAGATATTTTTTAAAGTGTGGTTTCTGTGTCTTCAAAGCACTACATGGGCCCAAAATAATTTTATTGTTGTTTGAGGAGTTTGAGTTAGAAGCAGGAGCTAGTAGAATAAATTCTGTACTTCCCTTCAGTGCTTTTGTGAGAAACAGAATATCGTAGAATAATAACTAATGATGAAGTTAATGTTCTAGTTTAGCTTTTTCTTACTTTAATGACATAACCTCAAATGAGTCATCTTACTGCTTTGAGGTTCATATGGGGAAAATAAGACTTGGTGAATGCTAGAATTTTCTCTAATTCTACTCATTCAGTTATTCTAAACACTTACTAATGTTTTATTAAACAAGTTAAAGGATATAAAAAGTTGGTAAAGGTTACTCACCCCTGTAAATACAGCAACTTTATTGATTTCTGAAAGGAATGGGTATGGCAAACTAACAACACTGGCAAATGGCTCCACTTTTTTCTAAATACACAATGGAAAAAATTATTGTGAAAAATTCACTCATCTTTTCTGTGCCTCTCACATCTGTAAAAAACAGAACTAACATGTTTTGTTTTTTAATGTTTTAATTCTACCACATATCCTCTCATTAATCCAGAACTATTCAATGATTATAATTTAAGGCATCAGAGATTTTATTTCTTTTGTAAGAAACCATCATGAAAATCTAAATCTCTCTACGCAGCTCCATACTCCCATGGTGCTTGGCTTCTATCTCTACATCATTCATCAGTGTCTCATATATTGAAAGATGTATTTGCATATCCATATCTTCCCCAGCACCTAGTACAATACTTTCTTTCTACATGGATGCCAATAATTTTTGCCACCTTGAATTAAATTTAAAAGGATATGTAATCTTGTGACACCATCAAGGAGGAAATGAATGCGACTGTGCATACTGAACAATAAATATCCAGCTGATCTGCTCAGTAGGACACACTAATCTCCATCATTGGCTCTAAACAATCTGGTGATATTAACTCTAAATCCAAGACAGAATGACAAGCCTGAAAGGCTCTTGAGTGGGTCTATTTGGAAACAACCTAAACCACCTACCACTTTCAGACATCTGTGGGAAGAAAACTGGAACACCTAAAACACACAGTAGCATGCACTTGAGGCCCCTAATATGGGTGGAGATTCCCCAGGGCCTCCGAACTAATTTGTTCAGTCATTTGGTCAAAGTCCTCTCTGTCTAGGCTTGTGGCTCAGATCTCTTAGGGAAACTTCACATGGAAACAAGTTCTAAGTCCACAATTTTGATGCAGCCTTAAGGGCTGGAAAAAAAGAGAAAAGGGGTGTTCCCTAATTAAAACTGGAAGATTGTATTTTTAGCTTATTTTGAGTAGAGATAACCTTCTGAGGCTTTTTCAGACAAGAAAGTACACATTCTATCAGACGTGCAACTCAATTTTATTCACTGGCATTCCTTTGCCATTAACATGTCACAACTGGTTTCAGTAAATTTTTCAATGGCAATCATAATAGCATTCCCTGGGGAATACCGGCTTGTTACAAGCAGTCTATCAAGATTAAGAAAATGTCTTAGGAAGACAACAGTATCCTTTCAGTGTGTCTAGTTCACAAGTGGCTTCCATTTATGAAACATTTTAACAGTTGACTGAGAAAGTGATCATCTTGGACACCACAACATTTTTTAAATAAACAAACTAACAGTAACACTGTGATATAAAATAAAATTATAACATGGCTAGTATGAACTGTTTCTAATCCTAACCCTACCCCACTCTCTGACCTTGAGCAAGTTACTTTACTTTTCGTGTCTTGGCCTCTTCTTCTGAAATTATTAAAGGATTAAATGAGAAAATGCATGCAAAGCATTAGTGTGGTGGTTGGTACATAAAAACTTTCCAGTAAATATTGATTGTTATTATTAAACACCTACCAAGTCCTTACATGCATGACCACATTCAATCTTTGCTATAACCATATGAACTAAGCTTTTTATCTCCCCTTTTAAAGAGATGAAAAAACTGAGATTTGAAGAGGTAAAACCAGAAACTCACGTTCAAAGAGTTAATAAGTGGTGACAACAGGATGCTGGCCAGTACTGTAATCTGACTCTATCCTGCCTCCTCTTACGTGTTCAATCATTATTGTTAATATTGAGGTTGTTCAATTGTATTTAAAAACTTATACCTTCTAGTTTGACCAAAAAAGACCCTGAGAATAAAAATTTAAATATCAGTTCCAAGAAAATTAGATTTCTTCAGTGAGAAGCTTACAAAATTTAGAGCTATAATGGACATCAATTCTAATCAAGTGTTTTTCCTACTTTTAGAGTTTTATAAACAAACGTCTTCCACGCAACTGCAGTATACAAACAGATAAAGCAGAGACATTCTAATTGAAGCAAGGGTGGGGTTTGGCACCCCACTCATGCAAACTTAGTCTCAATCCAGGACACTAAGGAAATATCTGAAGGCTAATGATGTAATCCAAACTCTCATTTACAGAGAAGGAACAGGACACACAGGCAGCTTAAGTAATTTTTCAAAGTTATAGTAATACCTCAATTAATTTTAATATTTTTGTTGAAATTTATACCAATGATTTTCTGCTGAATAGGAGATGTATGTTCAATAATTATGAGAGTTTGCTTAACATTCTATTTTATATTTGGAAATTAAAAAACAAACACACATATTTTTCATGCTAAAGCATAGAAAGACCATAAGTTTTTCTAAAAATTATTATAAAAGGCAAGAATTAAAACATTAAGAAATGTCAATTCATACAACTACTGTTCACAAATAAATTTATTTTGAGTCTATATACCTTCTTCCCCAGTGTCACGTCCAGTGTCAAATCAAGATAAACACCTTGCTTTGGATATGTAAAGTCCAGAATTTGAAATTTCTTAAGTAAATGAATAGCTTTCTCCACCTCATAGATCTGTCTTGGATATAAGCGTTTTAAGTAAACATCATCCTCAGGTTCATCTTCCATAAAGGGGATTGACTTTATTTTTTCTATGTCATCTTGTTTTTCATTTGATGCTTTTTCTTTGGTACCTTTTTTTGTTTTCTTTTCAGGCCTCGAAAAAAGATAAATTCATGATCAGTTATCTCAATATGTATTCCAAGAGACTGAAAAAAGCCCATGTATATAAGACAAAAAAAAAGTAACAAAATATAAAGTTTACTTTGATTCGAAAGCATAGACTGCTTTACAGTTTTTCTAGTTCAACAAATATTAAGTGAATTTTTGTACTGTTTGCAGTTGATACAAAGTCAAATAAGGCATTGATGCTGCTCTCCAGAAACTTAGAGGAACAGAGGAATAAACATGCAAACAGACAACGTCAATATCATATGTAAAGTACTACAAGTGTTATTTGAGCAATAGTGAATGAACATTTAATCCAGCTTAGGAGGCTAGGAAAGGGATCTGGAAGAGATGATCCCAAAGTCAATTCTTAAAGAATAAAGAATTTCCCAGGTATATACCTAAGAGAAATGAAAATTCATGACCACACAAAAACTTGTACACAAATATTCATAACAGCATTACTCATTATCGTCAAAAAGTAAAAACAAAATGGATGTCCACCATATCACAAATGGATACATGTTATATACATACAATGGTATATTAATCAGCAATGAAAAGGAATAAAATACTGATATCTGCTGCAATATGTATAAACCTTAAAAACATTATGTAAATGAAGATGACAGTCACAAAACCCCAAATACTGTATAATTCCACTTACATGAAATATCAAGAATGGGCAAATCTATAGAGATGAAAGTGGATTTAGTGATTGTCTAAGGCTTGGGGGAGAGGATTAGGGAAATGAGGAGTGACTGCTAATGAACATGGGGTTTTTTGGGAAGGTAATGAAAATGTTCTAAAATTACAGTGATGCACAACTCTATTAATATACTACAAACCACTGAAATGTACACTTTAAATGGATAAACGTCATAATATGTTAGTTATATCTCAATAAAGCTATTACTTAAAAAAATAGTTAGCCAAAGAAACAACATAATAAACACGTTGAGGCGTGAAATAGAATGGTAGAGAAAGTTCGACTTGACTAGAACAAGGGCTGGCAACCTTTTTCTGTAAAGGATGAGATAGCAAGTATTTTATGGTCTCTTGTTTCAATGACTCAACTTTGCCATTATAATATGAAAGCAGCCATATACAAAAATGAATGAACATAGTTGTATTCCAATAAAACTTTATTTATGAACACTAGTTTAGATTTCATAATTTTCATGTGTCACAGAAATGTTACCTTTTTAAATGATAGTTCTTTTTATTTTATCCAGTCATTTGAAAACATAAAATCATTCTTAGCTTATGAACCATACAAACATAGATTGTGGACTAGATTTTTTGACCCACTGGCCTTATTTTGTTGACTCTTGAACTGAAGAGTAAACCAAAGACAGAAAACAGCATAAGATAAAGTTGGTGACACTCATCCCAGAGGGCATCCTCTTCTAGAGGCAATGTATTGCAAGTAGAGCATTCCAGCTGCAATACAAAGAATGCATTCAAAGGAAACTAGATTAGGGACAAGTAAGAGACTATTCCCTTCCTTTCTTCTCAAGGAGATATGACAGTCTGAACCAGAACAGTGAGGGTAATAGGTGAGAGTTTAGATTCTAAACTTTAGAAAGATATTTACAAGGTAGATACTGAATACAGGAAAAGGGGAAAGAGAAGATTCTAAAATACTTCTTAGGTTTCTGGCTTAGATGACTAGGCATAGGGTAGTATCATTAAGTAAGACCAGAAATAAAGTAAAACGGGAAGGTAGTACAGAGGTCAGTGTGGGATTAATTACATCATTGGCCCCAAGTCTTTATCCCCTGATAACCAAAAAAAATAAAAGGCCAGAGTGAGAGAGAGGCAGCAAGCATTTATTTGAGATACAAAATAATAGTGATTCTGGAAAAACTGACCCAGGCAGAAACTCAAATAGTCAAAACTATATTATCTGCTTTCTTGTTATCTTTGCAAACATTGTTTGGGATATAAGATTGCTTTAGGCCCAGTCTAAAGGTTATTTTGCCCAGTTTTAACATTCCAAAGGTCTGAGGAGTAGACCTGCAAGGCAAGTTCCTCTGGGATGGCAGCTCCAACTCTAAAGTGGCTCTGTTTATATTATTTTTTATACCCCTTTATCCATTCAAGTTCATTTGCTGAATTCCTCCCATTTAGAAAGATAAAAGTATCTTTCCCAGCACTTTGATTTGGGCATGTGGCCAGTTTGGCCAATAGAATAAGCAAAAGTGACAGTTTCTCTGCTCTAAGCTCAGGTTACAAGAGGCTTCATGAGTTTCCACTTACATGTTTGTATTTCTGCCATTTTCATAAGAACATGCCTGGGCTAACCCAAAGGTGGGAAGATGAGACGTGAAACACAGCTGCCCCCAGAGAGCCCCAGGCTAGGTTAGACAATTCTCATCTGACCTGCCTACTCACCGATGCACAGCTTGCCCAGCCAAGGTCATCAGAGACACCCATCCAAACCTAGCTTACATCAGCTGCCCCACAGGTATGTGGGCAATGACAAATAATTGTGGGGTGGTTTGTTATATAGCAAAAGCTAACAAGGTGCTTACAAAATAGCTAAGAAAATATGTTCAACAAGTAATTGTAGTTAAGAATTTGAAGCTCAGAAGAAAAGAGAGAACTAGAGGTGATATATTTTCTCAGCATTAAGTCAAATCACACCTATAATCTTTTACCCATAAGAACTTTAAATCAGTGAAATAATATTCTATAAAGATGTTTGGGTTCTGTGATAGGCAGAATAATGGCTTCCCACAGATATCCATCTCTACATGGCAAAAAGGACTTTGCAGATGTGATTAAGGTTAAAGATCTGAAAATGGGAGAGTATCCTGAATTACCCAAGTGGGCCCAATCTAATCATACCGAATCCTTACAAAGCAGAGAAACTTTCCCCTTTTCCCACCTGCATCTGACCAAGATGGTAAGAGATAAGAGAAATTCAAGCATGAAAAGAGAATCAATTTGCCATTCCTGGCTTTGAAGGTGGAGAACTTGGGGTAAGGAGCCAAGGAATGCAGGTGGCCTCTCAAAGCTGGGAATGAAAAGAAAGCAAATTCTTCCATAGAGCCTCTAGAACAGTGGTTCTCAACCTTCCTAATGCCGCGACCCTTTAATACAGTTCCTCATGTTGTGGTGACCCCCAACCATAAAATTATTTTCGTTGCTACTTCATAACTGTAATTTTGCTACTGTTATGAGTCGTAATGTAAATATCTGATATGCAGGATGTATTTAGGCGACCCCTGTGGAAGGGTCATTCGACCCCCAAAGGGGTCGCGACCCACAGGTTGAGAACCGCTGCTCTAGAACGAAATGAAGCCCTGCTAACACCCTGATCTTAGCCCAGTGAAATTCATGTTAGGCTTCTGACCTACAAGATGCAAGATAATAAGCTTGTGTTGTTTTAAGCCACAATATATGAGGTAATTTGTTATAGCAGCAACAGAAAATTAATACAAAGTTCTATAAAATTTATGTGAAAGAAGTAGATGACAGTAAAACAACTTTTTAAAAAGTACCTCAAAAACGATTCCAAAGTTAATTCCATTCTCACTTTTAGACTCAATGAAACCTCATTACCACAACTAATATAATATGCTCTCAGCTAATGAGCAATTTAACAGAATAGGAGATAATGCCAATGCTCACTGTCTAAGTCAGTGGTTCTCAACCTTGGCTGCACATTAGAATCACCTGGCAATCTTTTTAAAATCCTGATTTCTGGGCTTCATCCTCCGGAAATTCTGTTTCTTTGTTACTAATGTTGTGGCCCCACCCCATAACAAAGAAACAGAATTTCTGGAGGATGAAGCCAGAAATCAGGATTTTAAAAAGATTGCCAAGTGATTCTATGCCGGAAGCCGGTCCATCCTTGCTGCTTGACACAGTCGCTGCAGGAAAGAAACATCTGCACAGCATATGTTTCAAGGGACCTGGCGTATATAGCATACTGTTCTTAATATGTTTGCTCCCCTTAGCGCTGTGTATTTTAACCAATGTCACCTCTCTGAGGAAGGTTGTTTCCCCAGGTAGGGATTTTCCCCTGAAGTTAGGGAGGGAATAGAACCTCTTAACTAAGTGCCAGGCGGGTAATTAATCACTTTAACTACGAACAATCATGCTTAAGCTACATCATCTTTACTCCCTGGAATGGAGATAAGAAACGCCCTAACCTTTGGAATAGAGATTGATAGGATTGGAATCAACTGGTATAAATACAGATGTAAGAACACAGAACTTAGAAGACAGAACCAAGAGAGACAGAACCTAGACACAGAACCTAGACACAGAACCTACACAGAACCTAGAGACAGAACTACTTCGCTGGAGAGAACATGGCAAAAGATCCTGGACAGAAACTGGCCACAGAACCTAGAGACAGAACCTAGCGAGAGAACCTGGCTGAAGAACCTAGAGACAGAACCTGGCTACAGAACCTGGATAGAACATGGCAAGAGAACCTGTCTAGAACCTGGTGACTGAACCTGGCTGGAGACCTGGACAGAACCTGGCTGGAGAACCTAGTGAGGGAACATGGCTACAGAACCTGGCTGGAGAACCTGGAGAACCTAGCAAGAGAACATGGACACAGAACCTGGCTGGAGAAGCAGAACCTCTCTGGAGATCCAGACCAGAACTTGGCTGGAGATCCTGGCTGGAGATCCTGGCTAGGCTGCTGATCAACTGAACACTGTCTCCGTGTCCTTCCTTCTTCGCCGACTCTGTCTACGCCTTTGGGAACCCCTGGACCTGCTAGGGTTGGACCCCGGCAATTCTAATGTGCAGCCAAGGTTGAGAACCACTGGTCTAAGTCTAAGCAGGAGCCCAAGTGGATGGAGGTGAAATGCCTCAGCTACCTGGGACGTACTCCACAAAATCCAGAAACCTTCCAAACTGGAGAAATCATATTTTTATTTTATATTTAGTAAAAGAGCAGTGAAGCCAATAGAAGAAGCCTAGAGAACCTGTTTTAGTAATAAACTCTCTACCTAAAATAAA